TTTTGGTTTTTGTTTGAAAGAGGAGAGTGGTTTGGATCAGAGTTTGTTACTGCCTGCTCTAGGGTAAATTCTGAACTAGAAGTATTTAAAACTTCACTGTGAGAAACAGTTCATAGTTGCACTGTGTAGTCTTTTCTACTTTTAAATCTTTATAGCTTTTAAAAACTTTCTTTTGTTGGAGCTCTCCCTGATGGTGCAACGGGTTAAAGCTCCACACTATGAAGCTCTCAGAAGCCCCTGCAGCACGAGTTCGATCCCCAGCCAGGGAGGTGACCCACATGGCGTGGCAGACCTTTCCTGACCCGCCTGCTGCTCCCCTCAGCAGCGAACTTCATGGATCTGCCTGTTCTGCTCCCCACTCTGTCTCTGGTGAATCCTCTGACCCTCCGCATCTCTGGCCTGTAACCCAGTTCTGTATGCATAAACAAATCTTAAAAAAACAAACAAACAACAACAACAAAAAACTGTCTCTTGTCCAGGTTCCTCCAGTGGGGTTCTTTTCCTATTGTGCACAGTCAGGGAGAAGGGAGCAGGAGAAGTGGAAAGAGGTCCCAACGGGCCATTCGCCACTTAATGTGTGACAAAGAGCCCCTGGCCTATTCCTGGTGGAAGGGAAAATGATGGTGACTCTGAGAGCCCCTAAACATGCATTACAGCGCTATCCTTTAGGGCTTGGTATATTTTCCGCCTAACTTCTGGATGGAAGTTTGAAGTTCTTGTACTACTAGGATAAGAATTATACAAAGCTTGTTTCAGTCATGTTGAACATGGTTCTGACTACAGTGTTACCTTGCTTTACCTTCTTTCTCACACTGCAGCCCTTGCCATCCTGGAGAGCAGAGACATCCTTGGAACCGATCACACACCTCCCCATTGGTGCACCTGCATCTAAGCTTACAGTCTGGCCCATAATAACCATGCTGGCAGGCTGTAAACAAACAAACAGAATCAGTGTTAATACAGAGAAAGGAGGAAACAAAGGCTACAAGTGGCTAATTTGATTTTCTTTCCAATATCTCACTCTTGCTGATATACCTACATTAGTATGTGATTGACAGCACTATTTATCTGCATTACAAAGAAGTTGAAAAGGTTGGGGGTTCTGCTTTCTGGCCTTTTTAATTGGCTTCTACCAACTGTCTCATAGATAACAACTATACTAAAAAACAAAAACAAAAGAACTTCTTGGAAGCATTGAAAATTGGGGGAAATCAACCAGGCAGGTTCTGAAGGAACTGAAGCTTGGGAGATGGGAATGGGGAATGGAATGCTATTCATTTTTCAGCTTCTAGTGTAGTGGTTGAGTATAACTGACATGGTGGAGAAGCTAAAATGCGAAGGAACCTGAAGAACCAGAGGACATAGACAAGGCAACCACAGCCACTGGAAAATGAAAGAAAAAAATCTCAAAGGGGAGAGCCATAGGAATTCCCAAATCTTTGTCTGGCCCCTCAGTCATACTTATAAATAGTCTCAAAACAACCCTACCAGGAATAAAAGAACTGAACTGGGTTTGAGATGATGTTTAAGTCATAGTTTGCAGTGTGAGTTCTGCCAACCTAATTACCCACTAAAACACAACAGCAAAGTCAACATTCCTCACAAGTACGTTATGCCATATTCCAGAGATTCCACCATGTAACATTTACAATATCCAAGATGAAATTCAAAATACTCAACTTAAGAAGAAATAAAGCATTATATCCCATTCTTAAAAGAAAGTCAGCATATACCAACCAGATGTTGGAAATAGTAGACAAGGACTTTGAAACAACTGGAATTATGCTCAGAGAGGTATAAGAAAATGTGCTCAAAACAAATGAAACAAGGAGAAATATGACTAGAGGAATGTGAACTATAAAAAAAATAACCAAAAAGGGGCCCTCCCCGGTAATGCAAAGGGTTAGGATGAAGCACTGCAAGCTCGCTGCAGTTGCTTCAGTGCCAGTTTGACCCCCAGCCAGGGAAGGTGACCCACGTGGCACTGCAGACCTCTCCTGTCCCCCCCGATGCTTCCTCAACAGTGTACTTCATTGATCTGCCTGTTCTGTTCCCCACTCTCTCTCCGGTGAATCCTCTCACCACCCTGCACCTCTGGCCTTTACCCCAGTTCTGTATGCATAAATAAGTAAATCTTTAAAAAATATAACCAAAAAATTATTCTTAGAATTGAGAAGTACAATATCGGAAATAAAATTATCACTTTATGGACTTAGCAACAAAATGGAGATGAGAAAAATGTCAGTGAACTTGAAGTTATATCAGTAGAATTCCAAATTGAAAAAAGATAAGATTAGAAAAAGATGATTAGAGTCTCAGGGACATGTGGGACAATATCAAGAGATCTAAAACACATACATTTGGTGGTTCAGGGAAGCTGTACAGGGGAACCTTAGAATATCTGAGCCAGGCTGGACTGAGTTAGCGAAATATGCTCCAGTGAGTGTGGGTCTAGAGACACATTTACCCTGAAGTTGGTGAAGCGTGTGAAGCTTGCACTCTAGACTCCTCACATGCATGCACCCTTTCCTTGGTCCTACCAAAATGTTCACATATGCAAATGTACTTTTTAATTTGCATGTTTTGTTAATATTCTTTCTTTTAAAGAGGGACTGGATCTGCCCTGTCTATAGTCACCTTTTAATTTAAGGTGTTTGTTTCTGAGACCAGATGGGATTCTTCCACTCCTAAAGGTCCTTCAACATTCCATGGAAACAAACAGCATTTAGAGGGATTTTTTTTTTTAAAGATTTATTTGTTCATAAGGAACTGGGGTACAGGCCAGAAGCTCATGGGCGGCGAGAGGCTTCACCAGAGACAGAGTGGGGAACAGAACAGGCAGATCGACAAAGTACACTGCTGAGGGGAGCAGCAGGCGGGTCAGGAGAGGTCTGCCACGCCATGTGGTCACCTCTGGGGCAGGCGGGAATCGAACTCATGCGGAAGTGGCTTTAGATTCTCAGTGCTGTGCTTTAACCCGCTGCGCCACTAGGGAGGGCCGCATTTAGAGGGATTTTACTGGGATTTTGCAAGTGGCAAAACTTACATTTGTGTAACTTTCCCTTTTGGCCTCTTCCTCCAAGCCCTAAAACTGTGCTGTCCAGATGTGGACTGTGCTATTCAAATATCAAGGCCTTAGTATGAAAAAAGGAATATAAAATATCTCCTTAATTCTTTTTTATATTGATTACATATTGAAGTGGTAATGTTTCTGACATCCTAGTTTAAATGAAACATTAAAATTACTTTATTGGTTTTTTTTTATCTTCTAAAGGTAGCTACTAGGAATTCTTTAATTTTATATGTGGCTTGCTTATATGTCTAACTGAACTTCTGTCCTGTTAACCAAGTTTTAGTGGGGGATATCATCATCCCTCCCAATATATAACATATGAAAAAAGCTGACACTACAAAGTCTTTAAGCTCTGGCTAACTGACCACGCTAGCATATATATTAGGCAGGGTCAGGCATATTTGGCTGCAAGTTCATGTTCAACTACTGTGTGACAGACATAGTTGCAAAAGGCATAATGACAGGTAGATGGGAAGCATATCACTGAGCCCTAGTGAGTGGGAACATAGATTTCAGAGAGGACAGAGGGAATCTGAGTGGTCAGCACTATGAAGATCCACAGAAGAGGGCATCTTAACTTCCCCGATTTTCAGTTTCCAAATCACAAGTCCTGTCTAAATCTGATCCCAAAGTGCTGATGTTTATGACCCATGTATGTCTATGTCCTTTCAACTGACACTGTGGTCTGAAAAGCAACAGCATCCATACTGCCTGGATGCTGACTAGACAGGCAAAACCTTAAGAATCACAGTCTGTTTTCAGTAGATCCCAGGTGCTGTGAAGCATTCTCTGAGACCCAGAGTCTTCATGCGAAAGCATAATTAACTTCACATGGAATCGTGTGGGATTCAAAACCCCGTACTCAGCAATAGGTAGTTGTCTCAGCAGTCAAGGGATAGCTTCTACTATGATTTCCAGAAAGCCAGATTGCTACCCACTAGAACCTCTTCTGTGGCGGGTGTGATGGGCATACCTTCATTGCACTGCAGACCCTTCCAGCCTGTGGCACAAGAACACCCATAGGGGTCTGGGAGACAGAACACGTAGGACTTGCATCCCTCTGGTCCACCACACCTTTCTTTACAAGTTCTGCCGAATGTATGCAGTTCACAAGCTTTAGGTAAAGAAAAAGGTGATACAGAGTCAAATATGCCACCCTTTGAAATACAGGGTTCTTCTTTCAAGGATCTCTCTTAGACCAGCGAACATGTAAAATAATTCAGCTTCAGCTCTGGCATGGGCAGAATATACCCTTATGGCCCATTATACACATAATGAAATGTCCCCACTGTGTGAACATCAGGGTCACATCCAAGTTGTGTAGGCATCTACTGCACGGACCTAGGAGCTCACATTCTCATCACAGAATTTGTACTTTTATATACTTTGCATAACTTTCCAGGGGTTAATGATAAAGAACTCGTAGGAAAAGGCACCTTTTTCTAGTTCACACAAAGGAAGTCCATTTAGCTTCCATCCCTGCTCTGTCCAGACCTAAAATTCTAGATCCAGCAATGATAGTTTTTTATCTACAATTTATTCATCAAGTGCTCTTGACTTACCCTTTTCACATGTCCTTCCCATAAAACCAGGAGGGCAAATGCATTCTCCAGTATCTTCATGACAGACACCATTGTTCATGCAAACAGTGCAGACACGGTTACAGTCAGGTCCCCACTTCTGGGCTTCACATCCTTTGTTGAGGAAAACAATACTGTGGTGAGTAGAGCATGTTCACTTAAGCCTCTGTGGAGCGTTATTTCACTGGCCACCAAAGAAAAATAAAATACATCCCCTGCTCTCTAAAAGCTAGTAGTCTAACGTGGGAAACACATGTAAACAGGAAGTAATGGTAGAAACAAAGACATAAAGTACCTAATCCTGTCGGGAATGGAAGAGGGCATCAAGGAAGGCTTCCCAGAGGAGGTGGAATGTGAATCTGCAGGAGCAGCCAAGTAGCTAAGAAGAGACTGTAGCGTGTGCCCATATGGGCAAGAGAGGATAGCAGGCCCAGGGAGCTGAATGCATGCAGATAAGGACAGAGACAAGAGCAAAGGGCTCTCACAGTGATGCCTGTTCAGGAGCATTTCCCTTACCTGGGACTCTGTTAGATTCTGTTATAAGTGCAAATCTCAGACTCTCTACCCATGAACTATTGAAGGAGGAACTCTGGAAGTGCCTTACATCTACGCTTAACAACTCCCAATGACTCTGATGCATGCCAGAATGCCAAAATTTGAGAACATGTGATCTACAGTGTGTAAAGGAGTTATACATTATGGAAAAAAAAAAAAAAAGAAAAATCAGAAGCTAACAGTATCCCCGTTGTGTGTGTGTGTGTGTGTGTGTGTGTTTCAGGTAGAAAACAAATACATGAAACAAGATACACAAAACCCAAAGTACAAGGGTCATGAAAGGCATCTAGAAGCATAGTTCTTAGCTACTCATCTGCAGTATTTGTAATTAGGTTTGTTAATCAGGGCCAAGGACACCTCACTGGAAAATCCAGCTTAGGGGCAGGGGTAAGACTAGGATGATCTTTTGTAGTCAAGAGTTTGGTTTCTTGAATTTTTTTTAAGATTTATTTACTTATGCATACAGAACTGGGGTACAGGCCAGAGGTGCAGGGGCGGTGAGAGGATTCACCAGAGACAGAGTAGGGAGCAGAATAGGAAACTGATGAAAAATACTGCTAAGGAGAGCAGAGGGTGGGACAAGAGAAGTCTGCTGGGCCATGTGAGTCACCTCTGGGGTGGAGATAGAACTCATGCTGAAGTGGTTTTAGTTTCTAGTGCTGTGTTTTAACCCGCTGTGCCACCAGGGAGGGCCCTGTTTGTCTGTTTTAAAAGAAATTTCATTTAATTTCTCATCTGAAAGGAATGAGTGTCTGTCCCTGAATTTTAGACTCAGGCTGGCAAACTTGGATCTGTGCCTACAGCTGATGAAAACTTGTAAGTTCTTTGGCAAGTACTCCTGGTTATCAGTATTTTCTCTGAAATAATCAGAAAGACTGTTAACACAGACCTTTTCTTACAGGCTCCACTTAATAGATAAAGCTACAAAATATCTAAAAAGCTAATATTTACGTGCCTTAATGTATAAACAGAAAATGCTTTTGCACAATTAGTGATTTCTTGAGAATCAGACCACAGGTTATTTGCACATGTTGAAAATTCATAATGGCTTATGGAAATGAAGATAGTGTTCTATTAACATTAAATTATACCTCTAGCTCTGTTCTTTCTAGCCAGTCCCAGCTTTACCCCTGTCTCTGGGAAAGAATAATGTCGAAGGTAATAATAGCAGTGACTTCTTAGGGGGTAAAGAATTCAGGAAGAGTTTGCTGGTAACAAACAAGTACATAATTAGGTTTCCATTATTTTCTTCAAGTTTTATAATTTTTGCTATTTCAAGAAAACATATTCATGACATAAGAGAAAAATTCTATACACTTTAATGTTTGGTAGAAATCTTTTGTCAGGGAGAAAAGTTATACTGAAAAGAAACCCTATAAATATAATCACTGTCATATTTTTAACCACTAGCTACTCCTAGGTTCAATTAATCTTGCAGAGATGCATTGCAGTAGTGGGAAAAGAGCAAATGTCTTCAGCTGTAGTTCAGATTTTAGTAAACATCAGAGTTCATGCCAGGGAAAATACTCTCAACTGGGATGACTGTGGCCAGCTCAAACTTTCTTAGAATAGTTTTAGATGTTATCAGTGCATCTCAAACAGCTTCGTGGAACTGCTGAAAACAAAGGAGAATGAACATGTGCTCCCAGCAGTCTCAAAGGAGACAACGTGGAGGTCAACATGTTTGAAGTCTTTGGCTATATCTTAAGAAGCGGGTGAATTTTCAATTCTAGTCTATATTAAGTCAAGTTTGTTTTGACATTAAAAAGAAAACACTTGAAGCCTTTTTACTGTAAGTCAGCATTGAATATTTTTGATATTGTGGGAACATCTGTCCATTTATTCCAGACTCTAAGCGCCTAATACACTGAGTTATATCAGATTGGAGAGGAACAATTTATTGAAATGAATGGAAATAGTGGCCTTTCATTCAAACTCTCCATGAATGTAATGGAATAAAAGGGAATTTCACCTGCCCAAACTAGATGCTTTCTGTATTTCTATTATCACACTGCAGTATTTATTTGAGTATGTGTCTTCTCTGGTTGGAAATTACCTAGGAGACACTGGTTTATCTTATAATCCTTCTATTCTCAATCAACAATGCCTGAAACAGTTATGATCAACAGTTGTTTGTTGAGTGAATGAGTGATTACATGAATATAATGCAAAGCAAAAATAAATACTCCTCATGAGTCAGAGATACGAAACATTAAAGGAATGAAAGAGCAGCCCAGTTTCTTAGATCTGAAGGCCTGAATGTGTAAAAACATGAGTAGCAGGCACAGTAGGGAAAAATTCAGGGTAAATTTTTTACTTTCTCTAGATCATGTTCTTACAAAAACTACTGTTGATATTTCAATAGTTATCAGTAAGAGGGGACTTTACTAGTTCTAATTCTTGCGTCTTTCAAATCTGACAATAGAAATCACATTTGAGACTTAAATAATCCAGAAAATGTGGGATTTACAGGAGACTAATGTTTATTAACTAGCTATCAGACATATAGAGGAGGCCCAATTCATCCCAGCAAACACTTTAAGATGTCTGCAAACTCACTGTGACTCCCTTTTTTTATGGGGGATGTGCTGCTATTCAAATGTGAAGTCCCAGTGCCATATGGTAGTACATGGCTGCACCCTCGTCCATAGCTCACTGGTCTCACATATATTAGGGCAATCTGATTCTTTATTCTGGGCATTCAGATTTGGAAGTAAACACAGTTGAAGTCAAGTTAGGGTAATGTCTGTATGCTTGAGATAAGTCTACCTGCAGCCTTTCAATGCTGAGTCCCAGATCTTGCTTAGAACAGCCAGTTTTAACATTAATATTCTTTTTTTAAAAAGAGATTATTTATTTATGCATACAAGAACTGGGTAAAGGCCAGAGGTGCAGGGTAGAAGAGGATTCACTAAGGACAGAGTGGGGAACAGAACAGGCAGACATACTGAAATACACTGCTGAAGGGAGCAGTGGATGAGACAGGAGAAGTCTGCTGTGCCATGTGGGTCACCTCCCAGACCTGGGATTAAACTCGTGCTGCAGTGACTATGGACAGCTTCATAGTGCTGAGCTTTAACTCGTTGCACCACCAGGGATGGCCCTCCATTAATGTTCTAAGAGTCCTGAGTATCCTTCCCACCAGTCTCCGGTTTTAGTTAAGTAACCAAAGTCAGTTTCTATTATTGCAACTGAAAAGCTTAACCTTGACACCATCACAGACGCAGCCTCTCAATCACTTACGCCGGACTATCAGCCTGGTGAAGGCCGAGGTGAAGAGATTTCCTCCTATGTACCTGGCCGAGTACACTCCAGCATCCTGGGGCTGAGCGTGTGGCAGATGCACTTCTAAAACATCAGGTACTTCATGTCGGGGCACTGAATGGATGAAGGAACCTGATAAAGCAGAAGAGTGGGGGGGAAATGGGTCACATGGATTTTTATCTTCGAGTGTTACCTATCTGACCCAACACTTGATCAGCTTTCCCGGACCTGGGAGAAACAATGTGCTCTAGCATATTGAATGTGTAAGAAGTATGAAAAGCCTCAGCTATTTGATGTTCTCCCAACAGGTTAGATAGGTCTGGTGAAAAAGCAGATAGGTTAGTGGGTGGGATCTACCACTGAATGTATGGAGATGAGGGTCTTCTTGAAATGTCAGGAAACCCCATCAACTGATCCCCCAAGAGATACCTAGAATCACTACTCTAATCTGGGCATTCCACCCATCCACAGAACTCAGAATGGTCCTCATCAATATTTCAGCTGGAGCAGGCAACTGCCACAGGTGACACCAATCCATAATTGGACTGGACAGATTGTACTGCAGTTTGGCCCCCAAAACTGCTGCCAATTCTCTTTGACTTTGTAATCAAACATCATCAAGTTTAATGTGGCTTTATTAGGACCCGAACTATCCTTTCATGATGGGGTTTTCATATGAATTCATAATGCATATTATACATTCATAACATTCCTCCATTGCCTAACAAAGTTGGACTGCAACTATAACAATGGTTCCAATAGGCTCTGCCATGTGGCCTAGGTGTGTGGTAGACCACGCCATCCAGACTTGTGCAATGTGTCTCTATGCACTACGTCCTTATGATGTTCACACAACTGAATTACCTAAGGGAACATTTCTCAAAATGGATCCCTGTTAAGCAATGTACATTCATATGTGTACTTCATACTTGATGAAGTAAATCATCAGACATCTTGCCTGAGAGGACCTCTACCATAGTTTGTTTTGCTTGCTTCAGAGCAGATCACACTTCACACATATTCCCCAAGACTACAGCAGGGTATTGACACAACATGCTTTGTGTCATCAGCTGTCTCACACCACGGTGCTTCAGGAAACAAAACATACTCACCATTTTTGTAAATCACTGCATCTTCTTCTTTAATCAACACCTTTTTGAAAGATATGTTCACATTATCTCCCCTGTCCACAGTCATAGTTAAAGTAGCTGGTAGGAAGGAAGCTTTAGAAAGAGAGAAAATAAATGCCAAAAATGAAGTCAAATATATTCTCCAACAACAATTAATCTTTAAACTTCAGAAGATGAGGAGTGGGCACTTGTTGGGAATTAGCTGGATTTTATGATATCAAAAATGGTGTAACTAATGGATGTAAAATTTTCTTTTACTATATACTTTGCTTTACTTTTTTTCCTATTTTTTAAAAATATACTTATTACATCAGCCTTCATTTTTGTACAACGTATGATTTCCCCGTGAAATTCCCACCACCTGTGCACCATCACCATAGTCCCGTGTGCTCTTCCCACCCTGTCCAGGTCCTTCTCTCTACTCCATCCCTACAGAATGTCTCTGATCTAGAGTTGCCTGATGATTCTGACTTTTACTTTATTATAGTTACTTTTTTTCTTGATCTCTTATTTGGTTCCTCTACATTATTCCTATAAGTGAGACCATTCAATGTTTTTCTTTTTTTCTTTCTGGTTTATTTCACTGATCATAATCCCTTCCACCTCCATCCAGATTGCTGCAAAGAGTATGAGTTTATCCTTTTTTATTGCTGAATAATATTCCATTGTATAAATATACCACATCTTCTTGATCCAGTCATCTATTTTTGGGCATTTTTCAAGAATCTAGTGGAAGAGATGGTCATCTCAGTGACTGTAAACACACATACAATATACACATACACATTTTCTATGCAATTGGTATAGAGGTGAGGACTATGTGCTGACTAATATCTATCATCAAACCAAGACCTAATATTAACTATGAACTATTACTATATAAGAATCTGCCATTCTTCACCAATCCCTACCACATTTCCTCAAAGTGGAAAAGAATATGAATGTCCAGACATTTGCCAAATGAGTTTTCCCTTGATCCTTTTAAGTTGCTCGAAATACTTCTAGTGGCTTTGGAATGCCCCAGCATTTCTCAAATGGAATCAGTACAATGCTGGACATATTACAAGTTGTGTCTATACTGAAATATTTAAGTATAAAACAAATATGGAATCCAATATGCAACCTTCTATCTTTAATTTTCTGTTTTTGAACTCACAAGGTCATGGGTATAGACAGTACTAGTAGCAAGTGTGGAAGTTTCTGTATATTTTGATTATAAAAATCATTTTGGAAACTTCTGTCCTCTGTCACATTGGAACACAACATTGCCTGAGTTCATTGGTTCACTGCATAACATGTTCTGAAATCCTTTCAATTATACTTTAATATGATGAAAGTCACAACTATAAGAATAAGGGAGATTGATTTCAGGCTTATTAAGTTAAGCCAATTTTCTAAAATGTAAGGGCTATGAGTAAAGGGAGAGGAAAAGATTGGGGGCAAGGAATAACAGAGGGACACAGACAATATAAAAGGAGGGGAAAAAGCCCAAAGGAAAATCATGGCAGACTGAAAATACAGAATAAAAGGGCAGAAATCAGGCCAAGTATATATAGGCTATAAGTCAAAGAATCTCAGAGTGAGCTTCATGCATGAGCCTACATGCACGTGTGTGCTGTTTTGCATGAACTACACATTAGGCATAACACAAGAAATGGAAAAATAGCAGTCTACTATTAACTAAAAGCAGCTGGTATTGCAATATTTATAGCAGAAAAAAACCTTAAAGACTATCTGGTATGGTGATAAAAAAAAAAAAAAAGAATCTATCCTCCAGGAAGATATAATCTGTATATGTACCGAATAGCGGAGTTCAAAATCCATGAAGTAAAACTGACAGAATTAAAGGAAGAAACAGGTAAGTCCACCAGTATGGTGGAAAGTTTCAAAATGTATTAATCAAAGAGACTAGAAATTGCTTTTTAAAAAAAAAAAAGCTTCAAACAGCATAAGAAAAGATTTGTTGGATATTTATGAACTCCTGAGCCCAGCTACATGAATACGTATTACGTTCAAGACTATTGCCTTCCTGTTAAGCAACAAAGTACAGCTCCATAAATAACAAATATCTTGCAAGACAAATCCTTTGATTTGAATTCCTAATTTAGAAATCAGTAGCAAACACTCTGTACCCTACAGGGTATCAGCCTTGGATCAAGCCCTGAAGAAGACAAGAGACACGCCTGCTGGGGACTTTAGGGTCCTTGTGCTTTGCTTCTCAGGTGGCAGCTGAGTGAGGCTGATCAAATATTGTGTGCATCACTGGCTTAGAGACCCACCTGGGCAGGGCGTTCCGTGTGTCTGTCTGCTCCTCACCCCATCCTATTTCGTGCCTACTATCCCAGGAATGGTTCCCTGCTTGGACTCCCATATTAAAGCCTTCAGAGCAGATAATGGCATGGGTGAGCCCAGAAGAGAATGGTATCTATCAAAGGGCACCCATGGGCTGGGATAAGATGGTCCTGGGATTGAGGCTACTTATTTGTTGGTATTAAGCAAACTACTATACCTTTGCATGGCTCAGTTTCATCATCAGTAATTTGTAAATAAATGTATTTACCTTGAAAGGCTAAGAACATGAAATAACATACATTAACCCCTTAGTAGCTTCAAAGGCTGTATGCTTCCCAAATATAGATAAATGGCAACGGGGTTGCACTGACATGGACACAAGTGGCAGATGAGCCAACTGCGCGAGGTGTGGTGGCTAAAGACTAGCATGGGCTGGGGGAGCTTAGCGGGCCCCCCTCTCACACTGACAAGGCACTTTCTTCAGAAGTCTTGATCTATGAAGCTCTTGCTCCCTGGTCTCTTCTGGCTCCTGAGAGAATTTTTTTCTGATCGTTTCATGCTGTTGTTCCTTTCTATGAGGTTTGTTTATATTTTCTGCCCCTTTGTGTGAAGATTGTTTAGCTGACCGTGGGACTTCTCACTCAGCATTGTATTCTGAAAAGGAACCAAGATTTCCCCCACTAGGCTCAATTCCAATGTAGTTTTTCTTTTTCTGTGCTCTGTGGCTCTTTATTATTTCAGACTTGGTGCTTTTGAAGCTCCCTGTTTTCTTAGGTAGCAAAGCAGTCACACAGATTCCACTGCTGTCCAGCCTGTCACCTCCTGCACTGATGTCTCTGGATAGATTATTCTCTGCTGAGTACCATGAAGGGGTCCACAAACTATGTGTTGCTGCAGTTTGGGTTTTCCAATAGCACAGGGAGCGTGGCGTGAACCCAAGACATATAGACTGATGTCATGTGATTTAACCAGACCATATAAACAGTACATGATCTTCAATAGTGCCCACTGTGGATCAGGTGTGGTTCTAAGCACTTTATACAAATTTAATTTTTATAATAACTCTATGAGGCAGGTACTACATATCCTAATTTTACAAATGAGATTAAGTTAAGAGAGGCTAACTAACCTATCCAAAAATCACACAGCAAATTTGTGGAAGAGCGAGGATTTGAAGCAAGTAACTACAGAACCTTTCATAAATTCTATAATGCTAGCACTCAATAAACTTGCAAGTCCTATCTCCTCACTTCATAAATAAGATGACTGGCTCAAGGTCATTTGGTTGGGCTAATTAGTTGGACAGAGCTTGCACAAGAACACCAATTCATTTATTCCTTAAGGGCTGGAGAAGAAAATAGATTGTAGTAAAAGTTACCAAGATGTTTCTCATTGATGAAAAGTAACAGCTAAGTTTTAACTGTTTGCTTCAATTTAATGATAGATAAGGAGTAAGAGTAATAATGTACTTTTATGGCTATTAGCGTCTTGTATAATTTCACAACAGCACTACACAGACCATAGAAAGGTTCTATAGACCAAGGTTCTATAGTTACCTACTTCAAATCCTAGCTGTCCTGTAAATTTGCTATGTGATTTTGGACAGGTACCTTACAATGTGGGAGATAGTGCTAAGGGTGACTAAGTTCCTTCTGCAAGGCCTAACAGTGATGATGTGATGTGTTAAAACCAAGACTCAAAACTCCAGACCTCCACACTTGTTCTAAAACACCAGCTGTCCAGCCTCCTCCTCCCTCCAGGCTACATCCTTAACCTTCTATTCCAGTCATTCCAAACTATATTTAGTCACTCAGACAGATACACGAACACTCATATTCCAGTCATGAACTTCCTTCCTGATCTTCTGCACCTACTTTTCCTCTGTGCTTCACAAATCCCTATCCACCTATCAGTCTCCACTTAGAGGTCATGTCCTCCAGGGGCTTTAATCAGCCCCTGGAATCACCCATATTTGCACCCTGCACTTGGCCATTACAGGCCTACTTCCTGTATATTTTCCCTGCTAGGCTGAATGTTCTAGTAGTCAGTTCGTATCTGTTTTGCAAGGCAGCACAGGGTAGTGGGAGTTCACCTTCATGGAACAATGCTGCAAACCAGGTGCCTGGAGGCACCGGGGTTACACACAATCTCATCTGTTCATGTAGAGTAATAATAGTGTTCACCAGATATGCATTTGTTAAAAACTGACTTCTGTAGTAACGTGGAATGTCAGGCACACTTTAAGTAGTCAGGAACTGTTAGCTTCATTGCAACTCCAGCATGTGGCACAGAGGATTAAGAATACTTGTGGAATAAAATAATGAATGAATCTGACTTTAGGTTTTCCCATTTCCATCATGCTTTCACATGCTGTTGAGATACAAATGGCTCCTCGCTACCAACTTCATAAATCATGGATGAGACGTTTCATATGCTTAATTAAGGTACAGCTATTTTCCAAATGAAAACGGGAAGAAAATAACCTACTTGTCCTCCAGGGGAGCATTCTGAAACATATTTTTGGACATGAAAATGTTCCAAAATTCATTTAGAACTCCCTACCCCCAGTGAAATTGTCGGTTTGGTTTGAATAAACTGCTGATGAATTTTTTGGATGGTGCCATTGATAAAAACAGTTTGGCTATTTGGAGTTCATAAGCCAACTTAGGCTGTGTTCGGCACATCTCAAATGGATTTTCCACTTCCTCCCCAGATGCACGAGTCAGCAGCAAGCAGGAATATACTGATGTTTATCCTATCCTGCTGTGCTGCTGGGCACACTTCTAAGTTCCCATGATATCGTACTCAGGAACAAAAAGTGACATGAAGACAGTGCTGGAGGTTTTCCTGATTCATCATAAAGAACATTGCTTTCTTCCCATCAGATCTCAGCTATTTCATGGTAAGCAAAATAGACAGAACCAATTGAACAGCCCAAGTAATTATTATTAAGGTATTATTCTATGTTGTGTAAACCACCACAACTATGTCAGCAAGTGATATTAAAAATAAAAATGACTAGGGAGAAAAATTAGTCCCACTAAATTATGACTTACTCCAAGGCATGATAATAACAGCTACTGAACATTTAATGTGAGCCAGATAATGTTGGTGATCTTTAAGTGGCTCGTTTTGTTTCTGAAGTGTGGAGAAGTCTCTATCCCACTTTTTTTTAAAGATTTATTTGTTCATACAGAACTGGGGTACAGGCCAGAGGTGGTGCAGGGGCAGTGAGCGGCTTCACCAGAGACAGAGCGGGGAGCAGAACAGGCAGATCCACGAAGTACAATGCTGCTGGGAGCAGCGGGCGGGTCAGGAAAGGTCTGCCGTGCCATATGGATCACTTCCAGAGCAGATGGGGATTGAACTCATGCTGAAGTGGCTCTAGCCTCCCAGTGCAGTGCTTTAACCCACTGCGCCACCAGGGAGGGCCTGCTATCCTTTTTTTTT